TTCCATGTCTATTGTAGAGACATGAAAAATGTATAATGAAGATAAATGTGAAATAACTTTTCTTCTTTTAGATAATAAAAAACGAACAGTTGGTTGAAAAGATCGGTGATTTACACTGATCGAGATATGTTGTACATTAGGGCAAAGTTGGATGAGTACTTTCATTAAGGTCATTGAATACTCTTTTTTAAATATGAGATTTTTTATTTGATTTTGACTTGACACTAGACGAAAGATAGATTTCTGCGGTTGTGATGTCAATAAATCTGCTTCATTTGATCTTATCGAATTGAATACTAACGTATGAACATTAGGTGTTAATTTTAAGAGTCTAATCAATCGATGACAACGAAGATAAGATAAATCAACGATTATTTTAGTCAATTGATTTAACGGAATAATACCATCGAGCTCATCGATTGTAGGCCAGTGAAAAATAGCATTACGATTATTGCAGAGACTCAATTTCGTAGCGTTTGGAAAGTATTTTAAACTATCAGGTATCACTCTTCCATTGTCGATCATAACATGATGAACCGAAGGATAACTAGTTTTCTCATTACATCCATACTCATCATCGTTTGATGGATTGATAAATCTAAAAGATTTTTTTCTTAAAATCGAAAAAAAATCAGAACAATAGACATTATTCAATAGTTTATATTCGATTTATACCGATATGGTCCAGTTGAATAGAAGATTCCGTGTGAATGCACTTCACAATTAAATTCGTGTGTAAAAAACCATTGTCGTTGATACCAAAACGGAGATGAGAACTTGTCTAATAGAGGTTGATAGATATTTTCATCCTCACCATAGGACAGTATTTTGCTTTTATGTTCAAAATCAAAGATATGTAAATATGGCATATAAGATACAATCAATCGTTCCCATCGATCAGCATCTAATAAATATGTTCTATCACCAATTGACGAGATCTGTAATATTTTAACGTGATTGAAAGATTGCTTAAACAATGGTTCAATATGATCAAAATGAATATGATGCATTGTCAAAGAAACATTTGTCAAATTACGTAAAATAGTCTTAAATAGCGATGTTCCTTGATTGGTAAATCTACATAAATTATTAATCGATAAACAACGAAGTTGAGGAACATAGGATAAAATGGCATCAAATGCGTTATAATCGCATCTACCATTAATAATCAGATTCTCGATAGGACTTGGTGTTATAGTACATCGAGGTATTGACGTGAAATAAGTATCTTTATGAAGAGATATTTTACAAGATTTTAATACTGGAAGCTGAAATATTAGATGATAAATATACTCTTTATATAATTCATCACCAATAAGAATACTTAATGACGATAATTTTGGTAAAGAAGCTAAACGCTGAAGAAGATTTTTCAAATATTGTGAATCAACATAAGGAAGAATAAGTGTTTCAAGTTTCGAATAAATGGGAATATTGTCATTCACATAGAAAAAGAATTCTATTGTGAATGGATCTGATAAATGAAGTGATCGAATACGATGCTTATTCGACATAATGATCTCATTGTAATAACGTTCAAATGTTGATTTCGACAAAGATGGAATATTCATTTTCAATGGAAAAGTTGAATAGAGTAGTAAATTTTCAAATCGTTTATTAAGTTTGGAAAAAGTGTCATAAATCTGATAAACATCTATATATTCAAAGATTTCATAAATAACTTCGTTAGAAAAATCTTCAAAATGAGTAACTGAATGTCTAAAAGAAAACACACGAGAAAATAAAGAACAAATCTCTTTAAAATCTACTGACCGATCTCTATTGTTTGTTATGACGCAAGAAGAAGTTCTTCCTAATTTTTTTTCATACCATCATCAGATTCATCCGTTTTGATGTCTCGTTGTCGTTTGTTTCGGCTCATAATAAAATCAATGCAAAAAGATGTTTTAACGCTGATTTATATACGAAAATATTACAAAGGGTTTGTGCAATTATATATCATTTATCTTATCGGTGAAAACAAAGAAAAATCTTTATAAGAAGACTGAGATAAGAATACACCTATGTGAGTCATCAATATTTTTCACTATTCTAATACTAAAAATACATTAAAAAGAAAAAGAATTGAATAAAAGTATATGTGATTAACAAAAGTGTGAAATAAATCCGATATTATTAGTACCACAATTGGCAATAGTAATATCTGTCTCAAAGTCATTATTAAAATCGGCAATAGCTAAAGCACATGGTTGAGAATTATATCCAGTCCTATATTTTGTTAATAGTCCAAAACTGCCATTACCAAATCCGACTAACATTATTACATTACTCGTTCCATCATCAGTAATAACAATATCCAACTGATTATCTTTATTAAAATCAAAAACAATAATTGCAGATGGTCGAGAACCAAAACCAATTGAATATTTGATTTGATTTGAAAATGATCCATTTATGAGTCCAAGAAATATACCAATACTTTCATTTCCATAATTAGCAACGACAATATCCAGATAATTATCATTATTAAAATCACCAACAGCAACTGACTGCGGTCGAGAACTAATACCAGTTAGATAAGTCGTTTGATTTTGAAACTTTCCATTACCATATCCAAAAAATACTCCAATATTATCGTTACCTGAATTAGTAACGACAATATCTTGTCGAGTATCATTATTAAAATCACCAATCGCAATTGAGTGAGAAGCGGAACCTTTACCAGTAGCGTATACTAGATGTCGGAAGAAGATCTCACGATAGAAACCAAAGAATATATCTATACTTCCAGAAATACCATTTGACAGAACAATATCCAATACATGATCATTATTTAAATCGGCAACACCGATGGAAAACGGTCCAGATTTATCACCCGTAGAATAATGTCTAACTAGTTCAAATGCTCCATCACCAAATCCGAGAAAAACAGCAACTTTATTCGTGTAAGTCAAAGCTACGATAATATCTAATCGTTTATCATTGTTTAAATCACCGATAAATAACGATTGTGGATTCGAATTAGTTTCAAATGAATATATTTTTTCAGATGCAAAACGTCCAAGACCATTACTAATAAATATTCCTATTAGATCAGTTCTACTGTAACAAACAACAATATCTTGTTGATTATCATTATTGAAATCAGCAACAGCGAGTAAAGTTACAGAATAATCTGTTCTCAATGGAATTGTATATGTTGTTTTATTGGTAAACATTCCATTGCTATAACCAAGAAATATTTCTAATTGTCTATGATCAGGATAATCATTAACAACAAGAATATCCAATTGCTTATCATTATTGAAATCATTAACAGTAATCGCATTAGGTATAAATTCATCTCCATTTGAATATTCTACAGGATTTGGAAATGTTCCATTTGCATTCGCAAGAAAGACATAAATATTGTGACTAAAAGAATTCGAGACAACGATATCTGTTCGATTATCATTATTAAAATCACCTACAGCAATCCATTGTGAACCATATGGATTTCGAATTGGATATGTTGATTGATCTGCAAACGAGCCATTACCACAACCTAGAAATATTTCTATATCGGTACCATCAATATTAATAGCAACAATATCTAATCGATTGTCATTATTAAAATCACCGATAGAAAACGATTGAATTAAAGAACCATTTCCTGTTGCAGACCTTATTGCATTTGAAAAATTACCATTATCAAATCCGAGAAAAATATTTATACTTCGAGCAGTTACATTAATAGCGACGATATCGAGTAAATTATCGTTGTTAACATCAGCCAGAGCTATCAAGCAAGGATGAAGTTCACTTCCTGGTATGACTGCCTTTTGACGTGTAGCATCTGGATGTCGATATCCTAGAAGAATACCAATATTATCGGTACCATATTGAGCAATGGCAATATCCAATTGTTTATCATTGTTGAAATCACTAACAGCAATCGAAGAAGGACG